TTCTTCAGGCTCAGTGTTTCCCATCTTGCCTTTGGCCCTGCAGTTTGTTTCTGCTGGTTTGTGAACTTGTTTACATTCAATGTCATCTGCCAAGTGTGGGCCTAGTCTCGAATTCTCTCTCAATCCTCATGAAGTTCCCTTGCAGCTCCTGCAGTGTTTTCTAATCCTCTTTAGTTAACTAGTTTACTAGCTGCCCAGAATGTAGGTCACTGATGTTCTATTGCAGTTCCCTGTGCTGCTATAACACCATCACCCCAGTCAGAGCTCTCACCCTTATCTGTACCCTGTGTTTCCTGCACATTTACTGGGTCTTATTTCAAGTACGTGCATCTCCTTGAATGCTAGTGCCTGCAGTCTGAGAACTGATTTGAGACGAACTTAATGCCTTCTGAACACCCACAGGTATCCTGTGCTCTGCGTCCATCAGTCCTGCTGCTTGTTCCTGGAGCTCTGCCGAGTTAGTTCAGCAGACCTGTCTCCTCTAAGCCCACAGTCTCTCAGGGACAGGACCTGTTCCGACAGGCCGCGGATGGGTGCCTCGCGGGCGTCTCGCAGTCCTCAGTGTCAGGCTCAGCCTCGCTGTGTCAATGGTGCTGTCAGTCGGGGGGCCGATGTTGTCATGGCGATGGAGCCTTCAGTCAGCGTGTGTGGATGATGTCATGGTGTTTCGGCATTGTTCCACAGGTTTCCGTGATGTGGCTCCCCCATCCATATGGAAGAGCGAGAGAGAGGGATGGAGAATGAGAGGGATGAGAGACTTATTAAAAGTTTGGAGCAGTGGAACTACAGTGTAATATTCCATGACACAATCTGAATCACAGCAGCCCAGAGAGCAGAGAGAGAGAGTGATCTGTGTAATGTACAGAAAGTGAGCGCACACAGAGTGTGTGTGTGTTTCAGAGCATGCACAGTGTGTGTATGTTTCAGAGCACATACAGTGTGTGTGTGTTTCAGAGCACGCACAGTGTGTGTGTATGTTTCAGAGCACGCACACTGTGTGTTTCGGAGCATACACACAGAGTGTGTGTGTGTTTCAGAGCATGCG